GGTTCTTTAAACTGTATGCAAAAACTTTTTTAGCTCTTGATGGGGGAAGAATGACCACTAAGCAGACAACAGTTTGCATTGGTTTAGCAAACGGTCTTTACGAAATCCAACCTGGATTTGGCTCTTGCAGGCTCAAAGTTATCAATAACATGCATCCTAAGAACCGATTCTTCAGAAGAAAGGTGAATTTTCTTCATTTTTTTCATAATCGAACAAATGCTTCAGATTGCATATATTGTTGACGAATGTAATGAGCTTCTAACGGATGTTTTCTACTCTTACATCGCTGAAGTAAGTCTATCATTTCCAACAGTTAAAACATTAGGCCTTAGGTATCTCTCACTGCACCAGCATCGGAAAACAAAAGAATTCTACCGTCGGACTCAGATATGTTGAAGAATGCTTTGAATCATAGAAGTTCCAGTGAAACAAAGCAGCTTCTATCAAACGCAGGCGCTATCAACTTGGCTAGAAAGGTATGTTGATCTAAGTTTTCATTGTATGTTTCATTTTTAGATCTCAAGTATAAGCCGCTCAGTACCCAGTCATGTCAAATCAAATGTAGGAAGTGTTGGTATCACCAACTTTTACAAGATTGTGGACAGATACTTAAAGAGAGAAAATGCTGAAGAAATCATGCTGAAACCAGATATTTCCAATGATGGTATGTTGTTCGGTTGTTCTCAATAGCTATAGGCTATTTAGGTGATGGAAAGATAGTCCTGCGTGTATGTGTGCTGTTCAGACAAGCTCTGAAGACCTTCTGTTCTACGGCTCCTTTCATCTCTGAATTTGAAGAACATCTGAATGCCGTATCACTTCTCGACACTATGGAACAAACAGAACGAACAAAATACTTAGGTTTGTGTTCATACATTTGAAACCCCAACAGATACAACAGTTTAGATTCGTATCTCCGGCTCTGTGACAAGAGTGGTTCGTTAGGGCATTTAGGCTGTTGTATTATGGCTGACACCACGTTTGATTTGGCCAGAGAATATGTTACTCTCATATGTGGAGTGAATAACCAATACACGTAAGGTATTTCTCGTAAACTATAAAGTGCTTGTTAAGAAATGCGAGATCGGGTAAAAATTCTTCGATCATCTTAGGATACATGCTCCATTCAAGCAAAAGAACTGAGAATCATGAAGTATTTTCCCGTTTCCTCAACGAAAACTTGCAAAAGTTCGGTGCAGGACGTACGATTCCTAGTGTTATCACCGATGGTGAAGAAGGATTGTATGTTTATGGAAGTGTAAGTGAACTTTTTTATCAAATGAAAATATAAGTTGACTTAGGGTTCTTTCCTGAAGGATTCCATCCGATGTCGCTGTGATGTTCATCGATGTGACAACATCAAGAACATGGCTAAACAGGAGAACGTAGACCTCTTGACATTGCAAAATGTTTTGTTCGGAAGAAAGTTGGACGTAAGCATCTTTTGATTTTCTCCGTTATTCTGTTATTTAGACTCCAGTGGGTGTTCTCTTGCGCAAAGGTGTATTAGGATCTCTTGTTAAATCTGAGTATGATATTCTTTTCTCTCGACTTCTTGATTTTCTAGAGTCAGCTCCAACGCTTCAAGCTTGGTGGGTTTCTCGAGTATTTTTTTAAAACAATACTGATTGTAAGTTCAGCAAAAACAAAGATGATCTCTATGCAACGCATAGCTTAAGAAGGAAATTAGAGGCAGGCTGGGTGGCTCAGTATTACTCCACAAACATTCTCGAATCGAGAAACGCCGCCATTAAGCAACTTGTAACTAGTAAATGCCCCGGAAACAAACTGCTTGATCACTTACTCTTCCTTCATAGAAGTAAGCTTAACATTTCAAAACATAAACTTTCTGAACTCATCATTTTTTAGATGAAATTAATGAGAGAAAAAACGCAGTCATGGGACTCCCAAGCACACTCGCAGTTCAGCAGCCTATCTCCAATGCTGACTATAATGCTAAAAACGTTTGTGAAAAACGTTTTTACTTGGCTTCGTTTGGTCTGATCGAACAAACACAGTTCGTGAATGTTGCCAACTCCCTGTCAGGTTTGTTAGTTTTTGGATTAATGCCTTGTCGGATAACTCTTTTTTAGTTCATTTGGAAAACGTTAAAGAAGATGTAGTCAAAAGCTCGCTTCTTTACAAACTCCACAACAGTATTCAAGATGAGGACAGCTTTTTTGTTGTCAAAGAGAAATCACAGTTAGTTTGATTCAAAGATAAGATGTACTGCGAACATAGGCATACCACGATGCTCTCTATTGAAAACAAGAAGTTCCTGTGTCATGATAATTTTTGCAGCAATTCAAAAGAGAAACATAAACTGTGTTGCCATAAGTGGGCGATTTTCAAACTGATTCATAGTTAACAAAAAAATGATGTTAAGGATCGCCGTTCTTCTCAACTCAGATAACAATACTCAAATAAGAATTGCATCAGTATTGACGGAAATGAAAGACAAAAGGGGTCTGATCGAAATGATGAGAGAGCAAAGTAACCCAAATATGGGTTCAAAATATACGAGAAGAGGAACGGTATCATCGGGAAAAAATCATTCCAGGAAATACACACATCTTCTAAAGTTAGTTCCCTATCATGAATAATTGGCATAATAAAGTTGCAGTTGTACTGATGAGGCACTTGAGTTAGCGTTTGAAGAAGTGGATTCGGTTAGAGATGACAATAACAATGATCTTGACGACTTGAATAATAATGAATTTTCGATCTCAATTTTGAAGAAGCTTTGTGAATGTTGACGAGAGAAAAATGCTAATGATATAAAATGTGGATGGAATAAAAACTCTTTAGTTTCAAGTGTTGATTTTTAAATATCCCAAAATTCGGCATACTGTGTGTACATGTTTCGTTTCTGGGTACTTGTTTAGACGCCGTGTACTGTGTACTCTTTTTCCGTGTACTTGTAAGATTGCCTTCAACGTGGTATGGTCGTACACATTCTCCGAAACTAGTTAACAGTTCTTACTGTACGATTAACGAACGAGTTGTGTTTGAGAAAAACTGAAAGATTAAAATTTTCAGATACCAATCTAGAAAACTATCAAAACAAAAAAATACTCTATTAATTTGAAAATGTTCTTTTCCTTCAAAAAGTGTACGACACCTGGGATTCCCAAGCC